GGTGGTTCATTTTCAGGAAAAGATTTATATCTAAGTAATTTATTTTTGAAAATAGATCGCTAAACTCGGAGTGAGATTTCGTCCGTTTTTCGGCCGTAAATAATACCCAAATTGGTACACCATATCACAGGCTATGGAAATTGTTTATATTTCTACAAGTTGATGTGCCGATTACAACAAAATATATTGCTTTTATAGATACCACACTGAACTATAATTGTATATATTCACTTTTATATTATCCGAATATAAGGACCAGAAATCAACATTTAAACATGCTTATATTTAACCCCTTGAAAATCCTCCAAAGTTTCGTCGACGTACGTCGTTTTTACTGGTTTTCCGATATGTTTACTTTGAAGTCATCGTGTACTCTTAAAATGTTCCTGAAAACAAAACTATTCGGCAGAAATGCTGTTAAATGTCTATTTTGTTATACTGTTAATGGAAAATGCTCAAATTTAATTTTAAAGTACTATTCGAACAATTTTCTGACCGTGTACCAATTTGGGTAGTGTACCAATTGTGGTAGCGTGACGTTAGGCCCGATCGTTTTTTGTTTGTTTTTACTTCTAGACCCGATTTTTTTTAATTGCGGACCATAGCCCGTAGATGTATAGGAAGCAAGTTCGGCCCATTTTTTTAAAAAAAAAATTCTATATAAGACTGCTACAGCTTTAAGATTTGTTGCATTCATTCACCACTTATTTCAGAATCGATATTTCCTCATTGCTAGACTATCTAAGCACGTACAGGGACCCGAGCATTTGTTACAACTGTATTTGGACCAGAGTAATTTTACATGTTTTAGGGGTTTAGATCGACTTTCGGTAAAATGACACCCCAATGATTATATCACGAAATTAGATTAGTCTATCTAAGTCCGTGATTATATACACGGTAAATATAATGATCATTGGGGATGCCATTTTTACCGAAACTCGATATACACCCCTAAAACATGTAAAATTACTCTGAACACCTTCGTTTAGGTCCAAATGTACAGCTGTAACATTCTTGTGACGTTGTGTCGACTTATCTGGTTCCGCTTAGAAGGTATTTGTATTCAGACCTGAACTAAAAGTAACATCACATCCCATCCATGCCCGCCCATAAGTAAAAGTAAACAGTACTAGATCTATAAATGATACTAAAAATAACAGTCCCTCCCACCGTCCCCGTACCCCCTCCCACTCCACCAAAAAAGGGTTTCTGCGTAGATTTATTTGTATTGATGTTTTACTATATGCCAAAGTATCATAATTTAAATTTGGAACATTTTTCACAAAATATATTAGCTTATCGATATAATTAATTTCATGGAAAAAAGTTAAGACGACCAAGAAATTAAAAAAGTTTTCCCCGGTAAGAGCTTAACCCGGAACTAAAAGATTGACCTCCTTCTTAGGTATTCACCAATCAAAAGTTCCCACAGATCATGTGTCATCACTCAACCAATGACGTGCTTCGTCTTGACCGCCTTTAGAGGAGACAGGTATCATGGCGGAAAGCTAGCGAGCAGCAGACAGCAATATAGGCCGATATTGAACAATTGTAGTTTGCTTTCTTACCTTTGTGTAGTGGAATACGATTGTAACAGAATCAAAGAAGAGGAACAATACAGTACATTGTCTGTGCATTCAATAGACTAAGGTATACCCAATAATTTATTCCAGACCAAAATATGCGTAGTCAATCGCCTACATTTGAGGCCACATTCATAACAACACAACCGGGTTTTGGGCGTTACCAGTCGTTCTGGTTACGGGAATAAAAACCACCACGAGTTTTAACTTCAGCATGACTTGTGCTTTTAGTATAACCATTCTCATATATGTTTAACCAGAAATTATCTGAGAGTCGGCCTATTCATGTGATTGTCATGTAAATGCATTATGGTTAGCCCGAGTTTCCTCTGGTCCAACACCAGACATCTATCTGTCAAAATATCTAAGTCTGGTGTCGGGGCAAGGGTAAACGCGGGCTACATTACGGAAAGCAACTGTATTCTGGAATCCAGGTCGTTTTAATTTGCCCAAAATTCAATTCGAATTACATATATTTATGTAATGTAAACAGGTTGTTTCATCCTAAATCTAATTCATCGCAGATTGCTTTGTCCTCGGGTATAAATTATTATTAATAAAAATGATATATGACAGGTTAATTATTAAAAACATACTGTTTTATGGTGCAGGAACAATTGTTACCAGAAAATTGACTGTCAGATTTAGAAGAACTTTAGCTATACTGTGTGGAACCATGTACGTGTGAATACATGGTGTTTCATATTTATATTATAACTGAAATAATAAAATTGCAATTGTTTTTCTTTTTACTGCAGAATGACAACACCAGACAAATTGAAAACTTTGTTCGAAGATCTTGGCAAGCCAACTTTGCGAGGTGTTAGAAAATGTCCTAAATGTGGGACTTACAATGGAACCAGAGGCATCAGCTGTAAGAACAAAACGTGTGATGTTGTCTTCAAGGAAAAAGAGAAAAAGAGAGGCCATAGTGCTGATGCCGTGAAGATTATCACTGGGTCCACTGTTCAAGTTTTCTCAGTTAGACTGCGAGATCGTGGTCCAGATTACAGAGGCTTTGTTCAATTACCTTTGGTTCAAGACCTTGATGGAAATCCAGCCCAAGTGGTTGATCCGACAATTTTGTCTCAGAATGCAAGATGCTTTGTTGAAAGTTGCTCCCACAGCAGTCCATTGAGCACTCAAGAGGATGCATGTCCCCATATAAAGGCTGCCATTGACTGCAACCAGGAGGCTCATCCCCTGACACTCAAAAATTCTGTATTGAACTCTCTACAAGTGTCAAATGATACCAAACAAGCCATCTGGCTTCTGGCCACAGAGACAACTGGCCCTCTTGTACAGAGAGTGACCAAGAATATTATGGTTGTGAAATGTAAAGCAAGTACAAAACAGCCCCTTGGATTCTTACACTTTTCATTATTTGAAACTTCAAGAAATCGTTCCCAGCCAGAACACAAATTCCAATGTAGCTGCAAAGCTTTTAGAGTAAGTGGTTACTTTCAATGGGAAAATTATTCAACAGTTAAGTTATTAATAAAAATAATTTGTATATATATACTTAGTATTTCAATTTTTATTTTTTTTCTTAAACTTTCAAGATTAAGTTTCTAAATGAATGAATGAAATAAAAATTTGACTCATTGAGTTTTGATACAACTCAAAATTCAATCTTGTTGGGTTCTGTAAGCTCTACCAAAAGTTAAAAAAATAATTGTGGATACAAAACGCAGGGGTGTACTATTAGATACATGTATATGTACTACCCACATGCCGAGCCGATATATACATGAAAAGTTAGCTTTTTACAATTGTATATAAAGTGTCGAGTGTACTATAGCGTACTTTACATGCAGCTAAAGATAACAACATTGTATTTTTACTTCAGAATGCCAAAGCTGGTGGAAAAGATGATATACTACGACGATGTGTCCATCTGTATGCTTGTGTGTGTGCATTTGCTAGTGATGAGAAGCTTGCTGAAGAATTTGAGTATTACATCAACATGGACTCCACAGGAGTTGATACTTGTATGTATTACCATTTTTTATCAACACATCATTATCTACGTTTTCCTAAAAATTGCAATATCCTTTATATAAACTTGTATTTTTCAGGATGTTATAAATTAAAATGTTACATATGATTATCATGGTATAGTCACTCAGACTGGGGATTAACATTATTTTGTCTGATCAATAACTGTTACTATTCCACCTAAGTTTGTCAAACTTGCTATATATTCATGTATCTTTGGAAAGATAAGTGTTATCTACTGAAGTCAGGTTTCATGCCAGCTCTATATGCAGAGTTCCAACCCTTAACATATACTTGGATATGTAAGTTTCCTATGAATATTTAGAGGCACGGCGTGGGGAACATTATATGTATATCATATAAATTAGGTACAAGTACAAGGTCTAAATATATATATGTATTCTGAAAAAATAGCTTGTTCAAAGTGACGAATAGCATGCTTCTTTTGCCGACATTCAGCTTTTAGTGAGAACATTGAATTTTCTGGTTATAGTTTAGTAGACATAATTGTTGTGTTCAATAGTCATAAAAGTATTAATATTTTGAACAGTTACAGAGTCTGCCCCGTCCCCTGAACGTCAGATTGTGACCATCTATCAGGCTCAGGACACTGGACTGGACACAGGAGACCCGACCACGCTAGAGGTGGTAGTGGCAGAGGAGGATCTCCTGGCCCCAGTGATGAAGAAACAGAAGAAAGATGATACATTAGGTAGATGGCAGATACCAGATTCATGGAGAGTTTAAAAAACAAATACAATCAATAATATGATATCTAGACACCCAGTATAGCTTGAAATTGTATTAAGGGACTGTTGCAATTTATTGCTGTGTACTTAGGTACTTATTCACCGGGATGTCTTATTGAAATTTCTGCATTGTACTTCAGCATAAATGTGTATATATAAATTTGTCAAAATGACCTTTGCGAACAGGTGTAAATAAATATTAATGCATGCAACGCAGGGCTTATTTAGGCTCCATCTCTCCAAAATATCCTTTTTTTACAAGTTATCTTTAAAAAAAATCAAAAACTATTGAAAAGCTTGTATTTTCATGCGACATCTAACATGTCACAAAATCACAATCTACAGCACCAAACTCTGGCCATTAAGTAACCTATCTGCTGACCATTTCCTGAAAGAAAAAAGATCAAATATATTATTTTTTTAAATATTAAACTCCTAAAGAATCCCTAAAGGACATAAATTATATGGTCAAAACTTGTTACATGATATGCCTTACTAAGGAACAAAATATGTGACTTTGTTCAAATTTGCTCCATGTATAAATATTTTCATATTTATGGCTTTTGATATTACAAAACTCATCACTTATCAAATTGCATTTCTTACTGAGCCTTCAAATGAACCACTTGGTTATTTCAGTCCAAGCAAGTAATGCCCTGTTGACATTACAAGAGGGAAACACGCCTGCACCTCCTAGTCCAAAGAAAGCTAGTCCTTCCAAAGCTGTCCAGCTGCAGAACAAACCAGCCACTCCCAATGCCAAAAAGCCAGGTACAGGTAAACACTTTCTATGTATTTAAATGTCCTTGTATAATTACACTGGATAGTTTCATATGTTTTTTCCGGTTTGAAAAAAAAAGTGATGGAATTGGTACATTTATCAAATGAAAGCTTGTCACCAAATTTTTATAGAGAATCTGAAACAAGATCTCATTTCATGTTTGATCAAATTTCAAATATTTTTTTCATCACCTGTATCAATATATCTGCTGAAGTGACACATTTTGTTAAAAAGAAATGCATGTAAAATACCACAACACCATCGTCTTCCGTGTGACATCGTAATGGATTTTATTACAGTGTATAGCAGAATAGCAGCTTTATCATAAAGTGAACAAGATAAATCCGTATGTGTGGTACATTTATCAATAACTAAGGCAAATTTGAAGGTATCGGTTGAAAACAGCTGGACTGGTTGTAAATTCGACTAAGGAAGGGTTATTGTTATGTGTTGTTGCAAAATTTTCTTTTTGAAACAAGTCAAAAGTATTGAAATATATCTTTTCATGTTTAATATGTGACATGCATTTGTCAATTTACGATTTATATGGAGAATTCAGTGTTTGGTCACATTCTTTTCTATTTTTGCAGCAACACTGTCTGCTATTGAAGAGTCTGAGGTGATGGTGTCATTTTACCAGTGGCTGGGAAGTGTGACAGAGAGAGTAAACCAGACAATGCATTATCAGTTTGATGGTATGCCATTTCTACAAGTTTATTTCACTTTATTTTGGCTTCACATATTTTGTTTTTTTAAGATCATGTAGTTTTTGGTTTATTCCTCAACCAGACCAAAAATGTAAATATAATGTATTATTTCATCTTTGCCTATTACGATTTTGACGTTTCCCATAAAATTTCAGTCTATTTTAAACAACAGGACTTATACACAACCTTTAGGTATTAAAATCATGTGGTGCAGGTATTTTGCTAATTTGCTCTCAATTATTGGGCTATGAATATACCTGATGTCTTTTTTACAGGGAACCCAGATCCCTTGGTGTTCCATGCTCCGCAAGTCTTCTTTGACTGTCTTCAGCAAAGAATTTCAGTAGGAAACAGAAAGAAACGACTTCCAAATTTCACAACAGGATTTGTACGCAAGGATGCTCTCCCGCTGGGAACCTTCACAAAATACACGTGGCATATCACTAACATTGTACACGTCAAACAGATCTTTGACACACAAACGGTAAATATTTTAGAGTGCATGTGCAAAATTATTTCCAGATAAAACCTTTTACCTTGTTTGTACTCCACCAGTACTACTGGAGGGGATTATAGCATTAAATCTGGTGGTCGGGTGGTGCACGGGTGGTCAGGTGGTTCAGTGGATAGCGCACTTGCCTTTCACCTAGGCGGCCAGGTTTCGATTTCCCCTGATCGGACGTGAGAAGGTTGGGGTCACCTGCCCAACCACGTGTGTTTTCTCCGAGTACTCCGGTTTCCTTCCACACTAAGACCCCCCATGCGCTAACATCCGGGCCGACAAGAGTGATTATATAAGTTGAAATAACCTGTTTCATAATTGTTGTTAAATAAATTAAAGTTTGTATTTGATCAATTAGTGCATCAACCCAGGTGTATCATGAGAAAGCATTAGGTCTCCAATGTGAGTAAAATTCTTTTGCATTAAAACTGAAATCATTTGTAGAAAGGTCAATGATGAAAGATTTGTGTTTGAAATATTTGGAGACCACACTTTTATTTTTGCTAGTTTGATGTGTGGATATTTGCAACAAGTGTAGTGCAGACTTGTCCATGGCTGAAGTCCTTTAAATTACTTGTTTTGGACTTACATTATTTATTTGTGCCTTGATATGATGCGATATTTCTAGTATCAACAACAAATATTAGCCTATATATCTTAAACTTTTCATTTCATAAAATTGTATTCAAAGATGATACATGAAAGGGATAGAACAGGCTAGGCCTAAGTTCTCTCCATATAAATGTGGAGATGCATTTTGACAGTATATATGTATTACATATATAATTTATAATGAAATTAAAATTTGGAAACCAGTACAAATACATATATCCATGTCATTGGTGTAGGGGAGGTAACTCCTTTGAGGAATTAAGAAATCACCAGGGTAATAGACCACATATAGCCCATTATCCTTCCTTAGGTCTTCCCTTCAAAGGTGACATGTTGTTAATTAAATATTTAGTTAATAGATATGTGGTAGTCATTTAATACGAACTTAGGATAGTAAAACCGTTGTAAATAAACTATGTCAGCCATGTTGGATATTAAAAATTTGATGTAATTTTTTATGTGAATACAGAAAACTTGTGTTGCAAATTTCATGCTAATTAAATGAGTTTTAATTTTTAATGATATTTTCTCTTAGATGCCCTTGGACATCACCAGGAACTTTGTGGAAAACCGAGATGGAACCTATGACTTATATGAAGTTCCCAAGGTAGAAGTGGAAAACATAGACGAGGCTTTTAAAGGGAAGAGTCCTATGCCCATAAGGCCATTTGAGCTGAAGACCTACCTCAAAGTTGGTTAGTATGCTCTGTTGATACGTACTGTATAACCTCAAATCACTGCTGTTTGGACTACTGAGTTGAATGAGATATTCCAGATATCTGAAGTAAAGTACATTAAATATGCCATGGAGCCACAAAACAACTTTTAAATTATGAAGGTCTTAAATTATGAAGGTGTTAAATTACGAAGGTGTTAACAGATATCTTTTATATCTATCTATCCATATCTACAACTTACCAAAATTGATTTCTGTTGAAGAGAAAATATTTTGATTGTTGAAAAATGTTTTTTGAAATGCATTTTAATTTGTGGGTTGGAAAATTTCATGTTGGCATTACTGTTGCAATATTTATCCGTGTGGGTCAATATATTTGTGTTTTCAAATTTCATTTACTATGGTCTAGAGGATTAGAATACGTGGTTTCATTTAACTGATTTATCAATACAGGAAGTTCCACATCAGACCAAAAGGAGCCAACACCGTTCATCATAGAATGGATACCTGACATCCTTCCAAAGACTAGGATAGGGGAACTGAGGATCAAATTTGAGTATGGACATCAGAGAAATGGACAAATTGAACACAGAATGGTGGCGGCTCCATCAGAAATTCCCGTTCAGACCATCCATGTACAAGAGTTATGATGATAATTGTATGGATGAGCAACATCTGTTCCTTCAGGCTAGGCTGGCCTGAGGGTTTGTTTCTGTGTTTGTACTAATCAGGTTTGCCTGTGTATGCATGTGTAAGCTATCTCACCTACTGTCAAGTTGTTCTTTGTGAGAAGTCAGATATACAGAAAGATTAATATGACTGTATTTATGTCATCCATGTTATGTCCAACGAAAAGTGAAAAGATACAGAGCATTGTTCCTGGTTCCGAGTGTCATTGTGAAGTTGAGTATTTCTTTAATTTAGAAAAAAAAATACAGCAATATGTAAAAGTGAAGATTTGCATGTGTTAAACTTTTTGATAACTGGTGATAGCACAAACAAAACTGCTATAGCTTAATCGTCACCAAAGAGAAACCATTTGAACAGTACCTGTATTGAAAGAAAAGATACTGGTAAATGTTCATAATCTGTTTTTATAGCACATGGATTTGTATCCCTAGATCTTATAGGGTGGAATTGTTCTAGGATTTTTTTTTAACATAATCTGGTTGTGAGACATTTTGATCAGAAACATGAATTTATAATTAGGCATTCATTTTTACTTAACATATAATGATGTCAATTTTGATACCTTGTAACAAGTGTTTTATCTGACAATTTAAATATTATTTTACAAGCTGCATTATTATCGGAGTTGTCTACATGTTACAAAGTACTCTGTAAATCAGATTTCTGTCAGTTTCATAAAATTGTATTGTACGTACAGGCCCAAAGTCTTTGTTATTACAGTACAATGAAATAATTTCTAGTTCTGTTTATAAAGAGATAAATCGCCTCCTTTATATACTGTGAAGTCTAACCATTACAAACCAATGTGATTAAGTCCTTTAATTGTTTTCAAAGGAGAAACAAAAACTTGCATAATTCCAAATGATTTTCCACACAGGGAGGAAGCTGGCATTCTGCTGTGTACAGATTTCTTAAATTTTGTTGAGACGAGTTACATTCATTGTAAATGATGGAAAAGCTTCATTTTTCAAAATGGCATGAATTTTGAGACCTTTTGTTTCAATTTTGCTGGAGCTGGAGTCAGAATACACTTCATATGTGCCCAACTCTCCACAATAGTTCTTTTCCTGTCCTAGGTACATATTTACTGGTAAGCTGTCATTGCAGAGCCTATCACCCATACATAATGATAAAAGTGACTCCCTGCTCCCCTCATATAATTACATCTAGGATAGTGTTACTTCATGTATTGAAAGTAGTAAATGCTGATACTGTGTAATTGAACTATTCCTGTAAAAGTTTCATAGATTTTGCAATAACTAACGGTTTAAATTATTCTAAAGCTTATATCTTCACAATTTTAAAGAAAAAAATAATGATTTTGTGTTTGAATAATAAGATTCATAACATCCAACTTGTACTTTCACTTTTTGAATGACATAATTGGTATTGAAATAAGCTTGCTATATAAGAATGATCTGGACTTGAAATTAAATACAGTTGTCATTGTTGTGAATGTTTTGCTTCCAGTACATGTACTTCATGCCTGTAATTGCAGTATTATTTATTGTTGTCCCAAGTCTTGATAAAATACTGTCTGAACTGTTAAACAGTGGTAAGAATTCCTTGCTTTACTTTCTGTATCATGGTGAAAGCTGAAGATAGTTGTAAACAGCATTTACACACATAGGTTTGTTAGAACCTGACTAAATAAATCATTGGGGTCACTGGGGTCTGACACTGAACTTACTGTTTAATATCATATAAACCAAAATATTTCCAGTGAACAAATAACATGTCTATTTCTGTAATTACTATATTAATTCACCAACAATATATCTTTTTAATGACAGTTCATAAGTAAATGAGATGCTAGAAAAACAGTTGATTTCTGTTTTACATCAGCAATATTGGTTTTGTAGATGAAATGCAGATTTTTACTCTTTCTGATGATATTAAAGGTGATATCATCAAGTGCTTGACACTTACACCTAACACCATTGACAGTACAGTAATGAATTAATTTATTTGTCGGTAAAGCAAGAAATTTCATACTCTGCAGTTATCCTGAGTTAGACACATTTATATGTCAGTTCATTTATCCACATAGACACATGATGCATGTAGATCAGAAAGTTTGATGTGTAAATAAGTGAGTAGTTATTTATTGTACCAAATGGACATCATTGTCAATACTCTCTAATCAAGACAACATGTATAAGATTAATGCAGGCACAATTCAATGTGCTATGTTAAAGTTTGGATTTCTTTAAGCTGTTATTAAAATTTGTTAATTGTGATATTATGTGTTGTTTTTCTTTTAATGATTTAAATATTGTGAAAATATTTTTTTTCAATATCATGGCCTTCAGGGGCACTATTAGGATATATCAATGATATTATATTCCAAAATTCATCATTTGAAGAGGTGAAAAAACATTAGCAGAGATTTCATACATTCTCAAAATGTAAGACCGTTGCCATGCTGTCTTGGACACAATTGGTAGAACATTCATATTGGATATATTTTTTGAATACCTAACGTATAGCTTTATATCTTCCACCTACCTAGGGAGATTATTTTTGTAAATAGTTCACTCAAAACCTCCCTGGAAAGATAAATTTTGGGTATAAGGCCTGTAGTGTGCGTGGTAGACGAGTATTAGGTTTGTATGACCTTGACTTACATTCACGGCATGTTAAGTTAAACTTCAGAAAATGAGAAACGGGACAGATGTATCAAATATGTTTAAATGCATGAATAATATTGACTCCGTTTGAAGGTTACTGGTTAACAAATTCTTTACATAAACTTACGAACAATCTAGGAAACAATCTTGCTGGAGTGATGAGTAGTAAAATAATTCTTTGACCTTGAAAGTGTGTCAAGGTTGATCCTGTGAACAGTTATGTTATCCCTGTAGGCCTCTTGATTATTAAAAAATAAATCAAAGTTTACCTATGTGGACCAAGGTCATTCATTTGATCAAACTTGATAGCCCTTCATCCATGCATGCTTTTGGTCAAATATTATCACCCCTTGGTGATCATATTATACCCCTTGGTTATTCAACAGGATTTGTTAGACGCCTTAGATTAATTTGAACCCAGTGACCTTTGAAGTGGGTAAAGATTAGTCATTTTAACAATCTAAAAGCCCTCCACCTTAGCGATGCTAGTTGCCAAATAGTATCACCCGATGTCGTTTGATTGTTCAAAAGAAGTCGTTTAAAGTTGAAAGTGGGTCGAGGTTATTTATGTGAACAAGCTTGATAACATTCATCCTAGAATCAAAAACTATCCATTTTTGTCCTCTTGGTTATTTAGATGAAGTTGCTTGGAGGTTTTAACAATTTTGGCGCCTGTGACCTTGAAAGCTGATGGTTTTTAACAAACTTGATAACCCTTCTTATTAGTATCAATAATAGTTCACCAACTCGTAGCAATAAACCCAACATATATATTCGCACCCGTAGACCCTCAAACCAAACATGCACATCCTTATGCATACAAACACATCTGCTACAAAGGACACCTACACATATTCATTCTTCCCACATAATATTAACACAATGGAATCTCCTTCCCATAGCAGCAGTACAATCCACAACACTCGAGGACTTCATTGCACACATACCCTATGAACTTAATGCAGCCCTTATAATCTAGTACATAAGCCAGCTTTTAACTTTTATAATTAATCTTATACTCTGCACAAAAACGAAACAAAAATACTAATCACTGTTAATAATCCCCTTTTTTCACGCCTCTGCACAGGGTCCCAAGGGCTAAACATCACCATTGATGGAGCCTTTGGACAGCTAAGAAGAAGAACTAAGCCTTGCTGAAGTGTTGTATACAGTATCCAAAATTATAAATTAATAATTATTGATGTCTCTTTAATTTGTTCCCTTATGTTTGTGGTTTTGAAGTGTTAATATTGCATGGTTGGCGATACCGCTCAATGGCGCTCACAGTAACTACCCTCTCCTTGACTGTATTTTGATATCCTGTACTGGATTTATTACTACGTATACAACTTTAGGTCACTTCCGGTTGAGAAAACACGTCAAAACCTCCAAAGAGAATGGCTGATGTAACGAATCTTTTCAAGGCGACAGTTAAGACGGTGAAGTCAAGGAACAAGGTTCTTGGCGACTTTACAAATGGGGGAAAGAAAAACAACTCGTCTACTTCCATTTTCCCTGTGTCAAAACTGAAAGGAGATTTTGAACAAAAAGCAAAGGAAATGGTAACGTAGAATACTATTTCAGTTATGGTACCAGTTGCATCATCAGGTTGGGTACTGATGCTACCGATTACCAATGTTAAGTTTGAAGTAGCCTTATTGATATGGATACACGTTGTCATTTCATAATCTCTCACATGATATGTCATTGAGTCACAGGGGTTCGTTACAAATGTCTGAAATACACATGTGCTATACTGGTATGGGTCACAGCACATATGTTTATGTGTGCTGTTGTTGTTGAACGTCGATAGGAAGCTTGAGCTTGTGGAGACGTCTAAATGTCCTCTTCTGACTTGATATGTTGCTAGCAGAATCGCCTTCCAGCAACGGACTCCGGTTGCGCAGGGATTAAAACTATTTACAATGTATCAAGCTTTTACACTATATTTTATCGTAAATACTTGTTTATTATATTAATTTATGAATGATTTAAAATAAATATGTATATACCCTTAATTATACTATAAGGAGTAACTAACATTTTAATGGTAATCTTTACTTTTTCTTTTCATGTAATGTTAGAGATTTCCATGTGATTCATTAATGATAAAAGGAAGGGCAGAACTTCCTGGGGTGATTCCTCCACAGGTGTTTAAGTTGGACTTGAACTCATTAAGTGTTTTTGACGACACAGTTTCCTCGGGTAGACTGTTCCAGACCTTAATCACTTGGTTATTAAAGACATTCTTACTAGTGTTTTTAGCCTGAAAGGTTTCTTGTATATTTTTTTAGAGTGACCTTTAGTGATATACTAAGTGCATGTGGTGTAGGACGAAACATCAGTCTGTAGTCTAACTACCCATACCAGTATAGCATATGTGTATTTCAGACATTTGTAACGAACCCCTGTGATTGAATCGTACAACATACATGCACAAAGCACACATCTGGCTGTATTCCAAAATGCAGAATGGTGCATTTCCTACCAAATATAGACATGAAATGGCATCATAATGTTATCTTCTGATTTAAGACTAAGACGTGTGTAAACGTTTCTTGTACTTTAAGTTCAATTTTATATTAAGTTTATACATTTATGTGCATGGCCAATTTGAATCCAGTAAAAAAATAAAAAAATAAATAAAAATAAAAGCCATAGCTGACTAGGTATGCACCACCTGAGTTGAAGATCAATGCTTAGCTATGCTACAGAAAGTGTTGTGAACCATTAATATTTACCATCGAATGGCATTGCCACTATATACCAAATTCAGTTGGCATTCATGTAGGCTATGAATGCCATGGACCGATGGTTGACGTCATCATTATTCTGTCTTTGCGTATTGCGGAGTTATCTTATCTTGAGAGCAGGTATTGACTGTTACGTCATTGGTTTGTGTGAGAAAATTACGTCGTTTTCTCAAAAATTGATGACGTTACTCTCACAAACAAATGATGTAACAATCAATACCTGCTCTCAAGAGAAGATAACTCTGCAATACGCAAAGACGGAATTATAACGTCATAATTGTTTTGTTGGATACTCCTGATTGATGGCTGTTCTATGCATTGAGATGACCAAATTCCGAAAATGGTAAATATAAGTATTGAACTGCTTTCAATTGTCATTCATAGGCAATATGAATGCCAACTGAAAGCAGTTCAATGCTTAAATATTGTTGCATATTAAAAGAGCATGTGCATTACAATTTAATTGGGGAGTCTAGGTCTGACTCCAAACTGGTACAGGAGTTGTCAACACCGGTACAGGAGTTGTCAACACCGGTACTGGAGTTGTCAAAATGTTTCAAATTTTACAGGCCAATTAACATACATCCTTTGTACCAAATATTCCTCATTAATTCTTATAGTGAAAAATGCAGCATCTGTTTTATTGTACGACCTTGAGCTCTGACACTGTAGCATCCACCCACGACCACAGGTTGACAACAATCTTTTTGTTTGTTAGATGTCATTTTCTTTTGTGTGTTTTATCTACCTTTGATTGGCCCTAAAGACCTCTTCTCTGGCTGCTGATGGGTCATTACGAACTCAATAACTAACTTAACTCTAGTCTGTACTAGAGGTCACTGAGAAGACTGAATATTAATATTTTGTCTTTTTAAAATCTGTCTAGGTGGCCAGCATAACTCGACTTAAAGATTTTCTCCTGGAACATAGGAAAGAGTATGTGAACGCAGGCAGGTGAGTTATTTGCATAATCACAGAGGCTTACATATTTTTTCATATCTGTATATCGACCTCAATAGTATTATTTTCAACTAGATTTTAATAGAATACAACATAATACTACTATGCACTAATAGCGGGTCGGCTTTTATATCAACTATGTGTTAATGTAAGGCCATTTCATAGTTTTCATTTAGATATAATGACCTTGTCAATATATACTAAAGCACTTTAGAGTGGCTTATTCTAGCTAGATAGGGCTCTTTATAAAATGTTGTTTATTATAATCTGTAGAGGAAATACGATTCTCACATGAGCAAAATCTGTGCCTTTTATTCAAGTTGATTGTTGAAGTATATTAAAGAAAAATCAGAACTGTTATAGCAATTTTAGATAAAAATTAAAAAGAGTTTTGGCAATATGTATAAAGAAAAGGTTTTGAAAAATTAAAATTAAATTTGGCAATATACTTGTGCTTAGTGAACTCCTGTGAAATGCTAGGACTATAAAAGGGTTTGATTATAAGCAGTATGCAAGTTCCGATGAAATTGGCATATAAATGAAATCTTATTATTTATTGTGAGAGACAAGGAAATGTTGAGAAAAGAAGTAAGAAAAAAGGGAGACTTGACCTCAGTTGGCAGTAGGTGAGATAGCAAGTTAAAAGATTGGCATTGTATGGAGGTTTTATTGTATTTCAGTCATGTGACTATGGAAGCTACCAGGATGACGGATGCTGAGAGAGATCAGATTGATACAGATGCTCAGGACATCATTAAAACATGTAGGGAAACCATCATGAGATTCAAAACTGAATGTAAGGCATTTTATTTTTAAACTTTATTCTTTTACAACAATTATGAAATAAGTTTATAAACATGTATTGATCACACTAATGTATAGGCCCAGTGTGAGCACTCAAGAGACTCACGCAGTTGAGTAGAAATGCCTATTACCCTGGGTAATGCTGTTTAATTTTCTTGCAGTAAGCTCACCACCTATTTTGAGTCATATAATTTAAGAGCCCTCTTGGCTTTCCTGCAGAATAAATCCAGTAAACATACGACAGGAAAGACATATTCTATAAAAAAAAATATATTTATGTTTATGATTTATAGCCGAAGTTCAGAAGGTCCACCCCCAAGTCAAAGATCACAGAGCCGGAGTTATTCGTCTAATAGAGGAATATTTAAAAGGTGAAGTCATCATGGTATTATATTTGACAATTGTACTGTATTTTCCCACCGACTTGTTACTTTTAGAAATATTTTCAAACAGAAACGCTAATTCTCCTCATTAGAGATAAGGCCCTGCCTCTGCCATTGTAGATGATTTACTACTAGTATATGTTGTGTAGTGTTTATTTTTTTGTATAAATTTGCATGGACCATCAATCTTCATTAAAGCATCTTGCAAACAATCATTCTTCATAACAGCGGACTTGCCTAAGTAAAATATGAATTCAATATCTTGTGAAAAAGAAAGTAAAGTTTGCAAAATTATGAGACATATAAACCCACTCCCAACCATCAGCAACCAATCTTTCATTTTCTTCTTTATTTTTTTTTCAATTATTTTATACTCCTAACACCAATATAAGTGCTTCCCTTCCCCCACTTCTTCCCTAACTCCCCATATACATTAATAACTGGAATGATTCTCATGTTGATTGTATTGAGGCTTATACCACAAAGTACATAGGGATCACCTGGTAAAAACGTTAACCATATTTATATCAACACAACCTATTGTGTAATGGAAGCTTGCTCCCCATGTGTTAACATAGTCTGGTTGGGGATCAATATTGCTGTTAATTAGTGTTTCAAACTTTCATATTGTTCAGTAATTAATTGAGCGATATATTTTTTGTTGACAGTTGTATGCAAAATTTACAGTGAACAGAAAGCTGTCCGAGTAAAACGAGTTGTTGATAGAAAAAGGATGTAAGTAATCGAATGCTTTGTAGTCAGAACAAATTATCTATGTATGCTCAATACCGTTGTATAACAAGCTTAAGCATGTCTGCAGAACTTTATAATTTTCTATAAAATTATAATTATATTCTTCTTTGCCAAACAAATGGTTTAAGATTGTGTTCTTTAGATGTTATATCTAGTCCAACTCTCATTAAAAATATCTTGATAAAATAATGACAGATGTTTACAATAGCTTCATCAATTAGAACTGATTTAGAAAAAACTCTTGTACCTCAGTAAAATGTTAATAAAACGGATGTTACTTAACTCGTTCACCCCTGAAATTTCATGATGAACTTTTCCAAAGTTTGAATTGGAAGAGTTCAAATGTGTCTTCAGGGGTGAATGAGTTATAAATGTATTGATTTTTATGAGGTTTTTAATATGGACGGGTAAAAAACTTTTATTTGCTGAGTTTTCAAGAATACAAGTGCTATTATAAATATACATTGTATACATGATATATATGAAGCTTGATAAGATTCTCCACAGTTTTGAACAATGTTTACAAAGAGTATCGTTTTTCTCGTTTCATTATTTGTTATAATATAGCAGATTAATTTCGCTGGAGAAGTAACACACAATCTGTATTTAGAACCTCATAAAGGTCACTTTATTGAATTTGACCTTTGACTCATATGATAAATGGGCTATATTATCAAAATTTGTTGCTATTTGAAGAAATATTAAATGTTCTGGTTGATCACACTGAGTTTTAATAAAAAAAGTGATATAAGAACTTTCAGTTTCAATTGCTCAATCATTTATCAGTCACGAACATTTGTCAAGAAAAAAATCCTTCAGTGCAAAATGTATTTCGATATTTTAGCAGAATTAGTATTATCTTAATTTCATATTATAGCACATATTAGAAATCTGCAAATACTTTTCTGTTATTATTTGATTGATTTATGGTACAAAACACACAAACGAAGAAATTTCATCTAAACATCATGGTGTTGAAACTCTCTGTCAACCAAAACATTATCACCATGTTTACTGCTTCAAACATGTAAAAACTGACAGCATCTTTACATCAAATATCAAAAGTAGAAGTTGAATTTATATATTAATTTTTCATCATCTTAGAAAACATTCTTTCTGTACTATACTGTTTACATATTTTGTAAATAAGTATCGTCGTCATCATTTCAGTTCTAAATTGGAGCCGGAAAGAAAGAAGAGAAAAGGGTTACTTGATGCAAAGGAACAAACAGAAAGAAAAACAGAAAATAACATGGATGGTATAAACGTTGTCAATTACACTTTCAGAATTTGTTCCCCCTTATTTTATCTTGTAAGTACAAGTGAATTAATATTTTTTGTTGAGATTGAAGAGAAATGAGCAATTCAAAGAAACATACTGGATCAGGACCAGTTATGATGTAGTACGAGTTATCGTTAATGGCATGGTAACGATGGTTTGATATTAACCCTTTCACCCCTATGTAACTTTAGTAGACTCTACCATGCATTGATCTGGATGAGTCCATTATGGTCTACAGTGGTGAAAGGGTTAACAGATTCAAACTCTGATCCATTTTTTTTCATGATCAACATTCGTCTAACTTGACCATGTAAACATTGTTTACAGTGCCATTAACTATTACTGATGTTATCTTAAGAAATCATTATCAATTGCTACATTAACTAGCTGACATTATTTAAATTTTAGCAATGGAATCAGAAAAGTCATCCAGGAGTTCTCTCCCACCTGAGAATACGATGTTCAACGATGATGACAGCGATATTTCACCAGAAGATGCTCAGATGGTAGGAACTTGATAATAGAGTTACTCCTCTTGATACAGATGCCCTATCAAATACTCTTGAAAATGCTTCATCCTGGCCAGATATAAAATGGACAAATTAGTTTTAAATACATTTATACTTTTTTTGATGATATAAATTGATGGCGTTTTCATAAATGTGCTTTATTTGGAGCCAAAAAATATATCTATTTATATCTCATGAAAAATGGCAAAGGTTCACATAACCAGAAGTAAGCTTTGTTCATGAAGTAAGTAATATAGAATGTCTGGCAGTTTCATGTGTAAAAGACTATGCACCATACATTGCATTATATAATATTTTCTTGGAGGAGAGACACTACCTGATTGATATGTAAATTAAATTTTGTAAAGAAATTTTCATTTGTAGATAAATTTTATTGGAATGGCTAGTTCGTTAGATGGTCACAATTAAGTATATTTGTATCGTATACTGTCCTTTATTTTGTTTTCAAAGTTTGAGAGAGAGAACCAGGCATTGTTTGATGAAATGAACAGCCTTGCTCAGGAAGTTAGGTAAGATGAAATAAAATAAACATTTCAAATATTTTGAAGGTCACTTTTTTGCAATATACATAAAACAAAGAAAATAGGACACCACTCATGTTCTTAATTAGTAAAGAATCTCTGACTTACCTGTAGTACGGAAATACTTTGAAGTACCAATTGTACAAGTATGGTGGCATTAGACAAATCAAAATGAAGGAATACTAACGTAATTTTTTTCCACAGCCACATTGAAGGACAAGTGGTAGAGATAGCACGGCTTCAGGAGATCTTCACAGAAAAGGTTCTAGAACAGGTAAGGAAATATAATCTAGAACAGGTAGGGAAATATAATCTAGAACAGGTAAGGATATACAATCTAGAACAGGTAAGGAAATATAATCTAGGACAGGTAGGGAAATATAATCAAATATAATCTAGAACAGGTATGGAAATATAATCTAGAACAGGTAGGGAAGTATAATCAAATATAATCTAGAACAGGTAAGGAAATATAATCTAGAACAGGTATAAGGAAATATAATCTAGAACAGGTATAAGGAAATATAATCTATAACAGGTAAGGAAATATAATCTAGAACAGGTAAGGAAAGGTAAGGAAATATAACCTAGAACAGGTAAGGATATATAATCTAGAACAGGTAAGGATATATAATCTAGAACAGGTAAGGAAATATAATCTAGAACAGGTAAGGATATACAATCTTAGAACAGGTAAGGATATACAATCTAGAACAGGTAAGGATATACAATCTAGAAAAGGTAAGGAAATATAATCTAGAACAGGTATAAGGATATACAATCTAGAACAAGTAAGGATATACAATCTACAACAGGTATTAGGAAATATAATCTAGAAGGTAAGGAAATATAATCTAGAACAGGTAAGGAAATATAATCAAATATAATCTAGAAAAGGTAAGGAAATATAATTACTCTACCTGGTCATTAATATAAATGCCATTGCACTATAGCTGTTTCAGAATGACCTGCTACCACATCCTTTGATGTAATGTTGATTACAGGTGAATCAAGACAGGTAACACACAAGTGATCCAGTGCTTTAAGCCCTAGACAATGTCCTGATTTGGAATTTTTTAAAAGTAGGAACCAGTTGTGTCATTTGCTTTATTTGATATCATTTCCAATTCGCTTCAGTTCAACTTATTTGTTTGACTGACCAGTCCATGGATTGGTAAACACAGTGAAACCTGACCACTCTGACAACCTTTGGGACAGAGAGCATACACACTAGGTCAAAATACACCTAGGTTATATTTAGTAGTTTGTATAAGAAAAGGGATAACATAATTTTGTTCCGTTTTAAATGATGTTGCCGTACTTTAAAGTCAGGTTTTACTGCATCCTAAAGCTTAATGCAGTATTTATCATACACTTCAAAATCCAATTATAGTAAATTCAACAACAAGTAATTCTTTTAGAGATAGACTTTTTTGGGAAATTTTGGAAAATTCTGACATTATTTTCATCACAAAGTTGAAAATTGGGGACTGATCCTTCTTATGTTTCTGTTTCAAAACAAAATCTCCATTTGTAAAAGCAGTTCAACATGTTAAAGTCTCATGTACAATCATATAGATCAGCATATTGTATACTGGGAATTTTTCGCTTCAGTCTAATTTACGCCTTTTTCTCCCTCTGGAATGGGGGCAAATTTATCATAACAGCAAACATAAGACAACAACATAATTGACATACTTACTTATTCATTGTGAAAGGCGAAATTAACACTGGTGAATAGGGATTTCAAAGGAGCAGAGTGAAAGTTTGACTGGGCGAACATTTCCAGGTAAACACTAGTCAGTGTTCTGTTGATAAATTAATTTTAATTTAATTGCTTTTAATTTACCTTAATATACATTGTATAACTCTATCCATTAGGACAAAGATATAGACAGAATAGCAGAGAATGTTGTAGGTGCTACAGAAAACATCAAGGATGGAAACGAGGAAATTCGAGAGGTAAGAATCTTTTTTAAGAAAAATCTGTCTTAGGGATTTAAAAAAAAAAAAAATAGTATTAGTTTTAGTTTTAGTAATTTCCACACTGAGATCCATTGTGTCTTCAGAGTGTTCTTAGGCAAAGATCACAAACATTCCTCAGGTGACATTAGACCTGTTTAATATAAAATTGTCAAAATACAAACAAAATTTCATTTACACAGAATACCATCATTTCATTTTAAAGACAAAATAATTTCTTTTATTAATAATGTTATCAATATTGGTATTGTAAAAAGCAAAGCTTTGTACCACCTATCAAACTTGGTTTTTTTTGCTCTTGATAAAATAAAGCATGGAGAAGTCTTTCGATAATTGTTCAAAATTTAGAGAGGTCTTAAGTTATAATCATAATATAAACACTGATGGTGAGAGTACACAGCCGTAGTTGGTACAGTATCGTTGTTTGTGTTTTTAAACTATAATAGTTACTGACGTCATTCCTCTTTACAGGCCATAAAGAACAGTGCCGGATTACGTGTGTGGATTTTGTTTTTCTTCCTCGTGTTGCCTCTATCTTTACTCTTCTTAGACTGGTACAATGACTAACAACAGAAAAAAAATGACTGTAAAAGACATTAACAACAGAAATAAATATCGACTGTAAAAGACATTAATAACAGAAATACAGATTGACTGTAAAAAGACATTAACGAAAGAAATACAGTAAGACTGTAAAAAACATTAACAACAGAAATAAATATCGACTGTAAAAATGCATTTTCTTGTGTCAAAGCTGCTCTTGGAGATGTAATTTATGGAAAAAGTGCTTACTGTTTTTTGTTTTTGATCAGCTAAGTGTACTTGCAACTTAACTGGGAGAGTGGTGCTGTTATTTATTGATTGGTATACCAATAGGGCTCTGTAGGGATGATTATTTATTTAGTGTTTTACAGCAGCAGTGATAGCGTTGCTACAGGACCAAGAGAAACTATGACATGCCTTATGGATACTGTATAGCGGAAAATGTTCATCGCAGTTTAACTTTTATTTGCCTTTTTATCATGACAATTCATATTATAGTACTCAACATGCAATATATAGTAATTATATATTTAGGCGAAATTTACACTGGCCTAGGGAGAACATGTGTTTTATCAACAAAGGGCGAAAATTTGACTGGACGAAAGTTCCCGGTCTACTGTATCAGTAACAGAGCCTATTATAGGTACGTAGATAAGGGGAACGAGAAAATTTTACCTGAGGGTGAAGAATTTGGGTGAGAACCAAGTCTTTATCAAGGTTCTGATCACAATTTCAACACCTCGAGTTAGAATTTTCCTTTTCCTATACCTACATAATGAATTACTACTTTGGTCCTACCTCTTACTTGTATACTGGAATTAGGTAAAATCGACAAAGACATTGTGATTTTCACTGTTACAGTAAAATAAGTAGATGTTCTGGTTGAAGTGCAAGTTAGGCAAGCGTTTTGATATGATACATGTATACCAATGGTTCACTTTAAATTTAATCTTTTCACCACTGTAGACTATAATGGACTTATTCAGATCAGTGCATGATCAAGTTTACTAAAGTTACACAGGGGTGAAAAAGTTAAATTATCAGTAATCGGTTATTTCTGTGAGACAAAATGACGTCTCATTTCAGAACATCAGCTGATATAAAATCAACATTTTGTTGTCAAACTTTTGTTTAATGCAGTGCCTGTCCAAAGTGTAATGTTCTCCAACTGGAAGCCTTTCAATGCACCTGTAGATATGGGATGGGATAGTTATCCAGAATAGGTGTTACATATGGGACAAGTGTACCTTGTGTATACAGAACTGGGAGAAAAGGGTTGATCTTGTTAGTGTTGAGAAAACAAACAGTATGCTACAGTTCCCTGTCTATGGAATTATAAAGTTTAAATATTTTGGATTTGAAATATCTTTTTTTCTGGATTACTGAAGTTCCAGAGTATGATTAAAATTGAAATGTCAAAAGTCAAACAAAATGAATATGTCACATTAAGGTAATCAATATTTAATGATGCTTCTATTCAGTAAAATAAAATTAGTAAGTTAAATCAGACAAAAGGGCATTTTTATATTGAATACTACACTGATGCATGGGCAATCAAGACATTTTAAACAGTTTAAACTCCGGAGATTTTAAGTCACTCGACATTTTGAGAAAATTCAAATAGAACTACAAACTATGTATGATGTGACATATATATTTGGTTCTTACAAAGTTAAAACACTTCTGCAATACTTCTCTGTCACCCTGACTTACGGTGATGCAGAATCTGATTTTTAACTGTAGTGATTTAGGAACACACTTTGTATTATTTAAGTGTTATATGACACAGCTGTATCGTTGCAGATTTTTGGTGACGTAGCTGTTGCCACAAGTGTTCCGGTTACACGAATCTATACATGTGCATAGTGCTTTGAAATAACTTATGATATGAATGAGTTATACAGACATTGATGGAAATTTCTGCACAGCGAGTCCTTTTAATGAATTTATGCCATAAATTCCCAGTACACTTGATAATTCTTACGTACTAAATGCAGCTAGGTTATCATTTAATTTAAGTTTATCATCATTCACAAAATTAAGCTAATTCATATTTATGCTTTATTTTGCTCACTGATTGTCGGCTGCTGTTTTGGAGGCAAATCCAGTTATCATTTGAACAGATGAGACGTTGTATCTTTTGGTAAAGCTTTGAATTAAATACCTTATTATGTTGTTAATTGTGCAATATTTCTTGCTTCAGAATAAAGAATGAAACAAACACATGATATTACATTTTTCATTATTATTGTGTTTTATATCTTTGACAGAATACACCAGATCTTCTTAAAATCATTTTTTAGACAAGACATCCATCTTCGCTAGCCAAGGGTTGATCCGGTACGATCTACCTAGAGTAGGTAGATCGTACCGGATCAACCCTTGGCTAGCGAAGATGCATGACATCGAGATAGATAGATATCTATGCTACAAATGATCTCCATATGAGTACGCTTTAGTCAAGTTTATATAGTTATGCGTTCGCTAAAGCTGAGCAAACACGACTGCAACTGCCATATTTGTTGACGATTTTTTTCCAGACTAATTTTGTGTGATTAGAATCGTTTAAACACACATCAAAAACGGAATGCTGCATTAAATTTATACACTGTGACAGTGATTGCTTTTTTATTCACCTGTCACATTTGTAAACTTATCACATAATTTAAAAAAATATATAGACGAAAAATGATAATCCTTACATTAATTTTGTAAACAAATAATCAAGAAACAGAAAAACCTTGTCTCATTCCTGGTTATTAATAAAATAGATTTCCCATTTCAACACATCCAAACAAGAGGCCCAGAGGGCCTATATCGCTCACCTGGATATGTTTCTAAAGTACTTTATATGAGGCAAAGATGTAGCACTCAAAGTACTTGATATGAGGTAAAGATATAATACTCAATGGTAGGTACTTTATGTACATATGAAATTTTCGAAAGATTCATCTAGTATTTCTTGAGATATAGCGAGAACAAACTTTAAATGTCAAAATCAAAGATTGCGGCCTGGTGGCCATCTTGTTTAAATGAATACACCCTAATAGTAACAGGCACTTCTAGACAACTTGATGGAGACAAAATTGGGATAAAACCCCGTTACCCCTATGGTAAAAGAAGGACCTCAAAGGTTTTACCTCTATTTCCCCTATTGGGCTCTGCCCCCAGGGGGCCACATCCACCGTTTATACACAATTGATTGCCCTTTATCCTCAATCATCCAGACCAAATTAAAATGGAATCCCTTACTCCCTATGGTAGACGAAGGATTTCAAAGGTTTACCACTTTTTCACCTATTGGGCGCCGCCGCTCTGTCCCAAGGCGGGCCACATCCACCGTTTATACACAATTGAGTGCCCTTGGCTATAAGGATGTTCCAGACCAATTTGGGATGAAATCCCGTAATCCCTATGGTAGACGAAGGATTTCAAAGGTTTACCTCTTTTTCACCTATTGGGCGCCGCCGCTCTGTCCCAAGGCGGGCCACACCCACCGTTTATACACAATTGAGTGCCCTTGGCTTTAAGGATGTTCCAGACCAGAACAATAATTGAACTCTCCTGAAAAATTATTTCAGAGGTACGTTTTGATATAATATTTAAATATTTTGATGGATATTTTGTTATAAAAATGCATCAAAAAGTTTCTGATGCAGTTTACTTTAAACAAGAGATCCCAGATGGATATTGGTGCCCACCATTGTACCATTTTCATTAGTTCTTTGTCAGTTCGATATTTTCTCTTGTTTTCTTTAATCTGTTTGATCGAGTCATGTTAACAGTAAATGCACCTTGAGGTAACTTTTGATCGAACTTAATACTGATGTGTATGAAGACAACCTTCAAAGTGAGTTTGTCATTTCACATATTTACTAGTACAGTACCTAATGTGAAAGAAATAGAATCGATCATTGCAATATGAGAAAGATCTGTTTAGTTCTTCCTTAAGCCATTTCGTTTTTGTGATCAGTTTAAAATATAACATGCACAACGAGGGATCAAGGGGAACCTACATATCAAATTTGAGAAAAATCCCTGAAGTTATTCAATGTCAAAAATCGAAGATTGCTGTTGGTCGGCCATTTTGTTTATCGGATCAGTTTCAAAAGTAAACATGAACAATACAGGATAGTGGGGAACCTGCATATAGAATTTTAGAAAGAACCCTCCAGTACTTCCTGGGGAATAGCACTAACAAACATTAACTGTCAAAATCAAAGATTTGTTTTTCCGATCAGTCTCATAAGAAAACATGCATAACTTAATTCAAGGGGAACCTACATACAAAATTTAAGAAAGATCTCTCTGGTACTTCCTGATTAATAGCCATAACAAACCTTCACTGTCAAAAGCCAAGATGGCTGCCTGTCTGCCATTTTGTTAATCTGATCAGTCTCAAAAGTAAAAACGCACAACTCAGGACCTAGAGGAATCTACATATAAGATTTCAGAAAGATCTCTCAACTAAGTGTTGAGAAACAGCGATAACAAACATTCACTTTCAAAATCCAAGATGGCTGCCTGTCGGCCATTTTGTTTATCTGATCAGTCTCATAAGTTAACCTGCACAACGACGGACCAAGGAAAACCTGCATATCAGATTTGAGAAAGATCCCTCCAGTACCGTCTGAGAAATAGCCATAACAAACCTTCACTGTCAAAATCCAAGATACATTGTAGCTGCCTGCCGGCCATGTTGTTTATCCAATCAGTATCAAAAGTTGCATCAGATGATGGTGGGCTAAAAATTAATCAAATATACATTCCATTTGAGTATAATGTCTAAAGCCTTTTACAGTGTACATTTATACTAAGCAATATCTGAAAAATAAACAAAAAGGCTTGTTAGCTATGAAACCCTTCACATTTGTTTCGTGTTTACAGTGACTTGGCACGGTTCGGGATCTGTGCCACACCCCTATGGATGTCTTAAATATATTTAAATGGAGGTTTAAAGAAACATGAACAACAGAAATGTTGTGTAGCGGTTTTTATTTATTACTGGTAAAAAACATTTAGACAGTTTACGTGTCTT